CCCCTCCTGCAGTTCCTTCCGATCCACGCACCGCCTACCGCGCCGCATTCATGCCGGTCTAGAGCAAGCGGAGGCCAGCATTGATGTCGCGATGTGACCGGAGGGAGGCTGGCGCTGACCAATGCGGCCTCTCGGGAGCCGCCGCTTCAATGCGGACGCAGGTTCTCGAGGAACAACTTTGGCCGCTGCGCAACATTGTGGCGGCTGACCGGCCCTTCGCATGGCCTGGCCGCGACTTTATAAGCCGCGCTCTGCGATGGGCAAGTCCACATCACATCCTTGTCCTCCTCCCCCCTTCCCTCCCATCTCCCTCCACATCTCCAGCGATGGGTAAAAGTCTTGGGCATCTGTGCCGGGAGGCGGTTCCAGAGAGGGATCGTGGCGACGACGCCCTCGAACAGTGGAGCCATCGTCCTCACTGGTGGGTGGCTCCTCGACGAAGGTGGAGATTGTCATCTCCTCAAGCAACAAGGACGACCAGCTGCTGCCGTCGCAGCAGTCCGCGTCGGCGCTGCCGGGCCAGGTCTACGCCGCCACCAATGCAGAGTTCGAGGAGCAGATGGAGCAGATGGTTCGTCGCTCTGTCGTCCACGTCAACGACCCAGCTCCTCCATCGGGGCACTCCTTCCCGTGAAGCCGGAGTCGGCATCCCCTGCACACTCTACGTCACGGTGCAGCCGCGGCGTCCAACTCGGACGATGCTTTAAGCAGGAGCTGTTGTCGCCACCGCCCTGACGCGTCGTCAAGGACCGCGGCCGGTCGCCGCCCATGCATGCCCAAGGCATGCGGTCACATTCTGTAGTACCTTGGTAGCGGTGGGGCTGGCGGCAGCTTCTCCTCGTCGTCTCGGAGCGCCATGATGCCGGAGGAGTACGCTGACGGGAGCAGCGCCGGCGAGACAGGCGCAACGCCACGCGTCGGTCAAAGTTCATGGAGTCAGACGTCCCGCCAGCACACATCTAGGTGGACCTAGACCTCTCATACGCCTGGGCCCTGGACCGCTCCGTGATGATGTCAGAGACGGTCAAGCGTCGTCTCTGCCGCCTCAACAGGGAGATGGCCAGGTACGGCGAGGAATGGTCTCTTGCTGAGACCGACGCTGCCAATGACACCTCCTACAACGACCGCCGCCCTCTCCCGCAGCCCATGTTCTCAGTGGTCGCGGCTGAACTGCGCACGACACAAGAGGAAGCGGAGATGATCACCCGCTAGCGTCAGGCAACTGACGGGAAGCCCTTCCGCAACGTCAACACACCTTCCGTCACCCGAAGCCCTACTCTGACGACTCCGACGCCAGATCGGGCCACGATGATGGAGGAGGAGCCGCCGGCCAGCCCGACATGGCCTACGAGGTCTCCGTCAAGTATAGGATAGTTTAGGGTTTTATTTATAGGTTTTTAATTATCGTCATGTTTTATGAACAAATTATCCCAGTTTCAATGAAATCGCCGTGTTTATATCAAAATTCGCCCGATTGGATTGAATTTTGTCCGGTTGGTTTAAGTTGTTGTTAAAATGTACACAACTACGGTTGGATGACTGCTTCTTGCATCCATGTCCGCGGACTGCCTGTCCATGGACGGATGGCCGAGAAAATTTGCGGGTCATCATTGGAGATGCAATTAACTTATGTTACTACCACTATGGATAGTCTTAGTATAAGACTTGAGTATATGGGTACAGTATCTGTCCATCTACTAATGGAGTTTGTTTAGAGAGAAAGGTGTCTGTCACGGCATTAAGACTGGGCCCAACAAGTCAGTCAGGTTGCACGGACCCGTTGCCGGCATCTTGGCCTATAAATAGCTGGGCAGTCCGTCTTCCATGGCACAACAGCTAGCTTCTTCTTCCCCGGAAGAAAGAAAGAAGCCCTCCTCTCGCCATCGGTACAACAAGGTACTATAGGCTTATTTCGATCTTCATTCCCTCGTTCCATGGCTTTATTTATTTTTCCTGTTTCCTTCTTATTAGATATACTGTATGATGCATGCCTGCATGGTGACAGTATATTTGCATACACATATGTATGTAAATATGTCTTTTTTGCAAAGAAAATAGTCTTGCTCTACGTATAGGCCGCGTCAACTATTGCACGTTGATTTAGTGATCATGTTGCTTGATTCTACTGCATGCATGTAGTTATGCGCGGATGGACGTACGTACTCCCTCCATTTCTAGATACAAACCCTTTTAGAGATTCAAATATGAATTACATACAAATATGTATAGACTTTTTTAAGTGTAGATTCACTCATTTTGCTTGGTATGTAGTCTTTACTGGATCTCAAAAGGGCTTATACAGTGTGTATAATAAGGATTTGAGCAGCAGTAGTCCACCTAGGTATGTGGTATACACACACACGCGCGGAGTATATTAACACAATTATGTTGCCTCCATCTAATTTGGCCACAGATCGAGATGCTGCCTCCAACGGCAAAGGATATAAGCTTCGGATCAGCATTCGCTAATGGTGGCACTGCTAATGGTGGCACTGCTACTGGTGGCAATGGTTCCGGTTCTCAGGCTGCGTCAAGCGGCAAGCCGCAGCAGGAGCTGCCAGCGCTGACACATCAGTATGCGGAACAATACGTGTATGCATACCCAGCAGCACCGGCATACGGCGGCCCTCCAAAGCCCCCGCCGGCGTATCGCTATGGCTATGGCTATGGTGGAGGTGGTTCTGGTGGGTACGGCTACCCCGAGCCCGATGGTATTTGGGATGAACCTGCTCGGGCATACGGCGGCGGCAGATACCGCCCACCACAGCTGCCGTATTATCACGGCGGCGGTCGTGGTGGGTATGGTGGAGCTGGTGCTGGTGGCTATAGCTACCACGGCGGTGGCGGAGGCGGCAGCTGTGGCTATCCTCCGACTGCAGGTACGATCGATACTTATGATGCATGTAGCAGTTCGACACACACCAGTGATACCACTCACTCAGTTGTTATGCTGATTGATGGGTCGATTCAGGAGGAGGAGGCGGCGGCGGTCATGGGGTCAGCAACGAATACGGAGGGCCGCCGCAGCAGAAGCCGCACATGAGTGCGGGGTGGCTAGCCGCCGGAGCTGCTACCGCCTATGGAGCGTACCAGCACCACATGCGCAAACACCACGGAGGAGGAGGGCATGGGTACAGGCATGGGCACGGAGGATACGACGACGGCTGTACTTGTGGCGGCGACGGTTACGGTTATGGCTGCCGTGGTTGTGCCCCCCATATGCATATGCGAGGCGAGTTCGAGCACCAAGAGCACACCAATATCAAATACTCTGTTCATCCCGACGGTAAGTGCAATGACGCCGCCAGCGGCCCGCCCGTTACAGTGTTGGACAAATGAGCCAGCCAGCCAACAAGCGGGGTTTAATATGAACGAACTCCAAGCTCATCACTGTACGGTATGTACACTACTCGATGAGCCTCGATCATCATACCAGATGGATGCCTTATATTGAATAACTCATCCGTCATGTACGTCCTAAACATTACATATATGTATCTTGTGTTAGGGAATAAAACTATATGTACGTACATATATGTAATGTAAGCCAGGAGGCTGCCAAACGGCGCTCTAGCGGTTTGTGTACGAGCGCTACTGTGGCCGAGCGAGCCATCACATGGTTTGTCATGCTAATAAGCACATGGAACTGAATGACGACCTTATATTGATTGATGTGTGTGTGTGCGCGCGTGCGCGTGTTCCTAGGGTGTTGATTCTATATATGTATCTATGTCCACAGAATAATTGTCTCAAGATATTCCTTATTTCTGTTTGGGAAATCAATCCAAAGGCATCTTCCCGGGAAGGAATCTTTAGTGACCATTATTTTTTCACATTAAAGATGGTGACTAGACCCGTTACAAAATTAATGTCACTAATGCTCGGACATTACTGATGCGTTTCAGACCCGTCAAAAGCAATGATGATGGAGAATCAAAAACCCGTCAAAAGCCCGTCACTAATATGTTTGTGACCGAAACCAAAAGTACATCACTATTATTTGCTTGTGTGACGGATCCTGGTTGTGACTGTTATTTTGAAACCCATACCTAGTGTTATCATAGACGTATTTCGTAAAACACCTCTCTGATGTATGTTTCGAAAATATAAAAATATGCAATCCAAATGGTAGCCACAAATTCAAATTACATGATTTCATTAAAGTCTAAATCATGAAGTTACAATGTATCACAAAAGGAGCCATTTTACCAACGCAAATAGATTAACACATAACCAACGAGATGAACACCTAGGAGGAATATAATATACTACATAAAGATGGTTTTACACAAGTATTATAGAGTAGCGCATAAGAGTTTGTACATACAATTCTCATATGGATAATCTAAAATATACTTTCATACATGGAAGAGGCTATGACGCGCGTGTGTGTGTGTGGGGGGGGGGGGATACAACGTGCCACACCCAGGCAAGGAAGCGAAGGGGGTCGGTGAAAAGCTTTGTCTCCTCCCAGATCCGCTGTGAAACCCCATGCTCCACTTGCTTCTTCGGCCGTCTACTTCATCAACGGCGCCCGTTTCTTCCAACTCCATTCCCCCCAACCGAGGATGGAGGCGCGATGTGGCGAGCCGAGGGAGATTCGGCCATCACTCTGCCAAAAAAATATAACTCTTTTTAGAAGAATCTAACGAGGTATCAAATTATTCATTGACTAGAAAACTGCCGTTGGTTGCTACTGGCTTAAACCAAAAATAAACTATACACAACTTTTTATGCAACAAAAGATCGTATTTATATTACATAATAGTTTTGCAACAATTTTTTCATGGAGAGTTTTTCAAATCCATTTACGACACACAGATAGTAGCACAAACATATATAGTAATTTTTCTTGAGCCGAAACCGTAGAAGAATCGTTCGACGGTATTTTCATTAAATTAATTATATAAAAGAAAATACAAAATAGTTCAACCAATATGGTATTTTCATTAAATTAATTATGCACACGAAAATACAAAATAGTTCAACCAATACGGTATTTTCATTAAATTAATTTTGTTTATTCCCTAACATTAATTTTTAATTAAGATAACTTTGGAGTAAATTTCATAGTTTGCAAGTCAGACTGAATAGCCGGACCTAAGAAAAATATATGAAATATACAGTTCCATTCAGATCACACCATAACTTGGAGTACCAAAATCGACATCTTGCTTAAGCATGAGTGATGCCCGTTCGTAGCAGCTGCTAACGGAGTTGTTCATTCGAATGTGACGAAGTATGTGCCCAAAACTCAAATACAAATTTTGTTGTGAGGAAACCTTACATTGACATTTCCCGTTGGATGACCCTTGTATGGTGCGTCGAGAAAGTAAACATCATATCCTGCTTTCTATAAATGAGAAAAATATAAATAAGAACCCTATCATTATGAATTTACACTTTCAAATAAAACCCCACATCATTGAAAATTCAACAACAATAGCATCGTTTTTTCTAATTGGCCCCAAAAGTTTGTGTATCCTATTCATATGTAGGTATTAAGAAAAACCATACCAAACTTCCAATAATCAATGGTAAAAGGATTCCAGGCAACCACTAAAGCACACGACCTTGACAAACTAAAAGATTGAGATATGACTTGCTATGCTATTTATTATATTCCAAGCAAACTCCTACCAACCATAAATATAAACATCCTTTCGTCAAGGGTCATCTTAAATGCATCTTG